GCGGTGAGGTCTGCGGGAGGCGGGGTGCCGGTCGGGCATCAGCTGCAGGTGATGTGAGGATGGTCTTTGGTGTTAAAGCCCTGCTCCTCCTGAGGCCCCACCCCTGCCATTTACAGGCCTGGAGCCTGGCACTTCCCAGGGCCCTGGGGCAGGGCTGGGTGGTCAGACGGTGAGGGAGACTGGGCCTCCTTCACCCCTGCCCAGAGCTGCCTGTGTCCCCTGGGCAGTCAGCCGTGCGGCCAGCCAAGTCCGGGTACCCTTGGGCCAGAGAGTACCAGGACCAGGGTCACCTGGAGGGCCAGTAGCCGCGGGGCTTCCGGTCAGGGGAGGGGCACAGCCACAACCTGGGTGGGGCCTGGGGATGCTTCTGCCAGCCAGCTTGGGCCCCTGCTCACCCCAGGGCTGGCCTCTTCCCCCAGCATGGCCTGGGAGCTTCTCCGTGTTTACTGGTGATGGGGCCGTAGCCCCGGGCCACCGAGGCTCAGCGAGGAACGGCTTCACCTCCGTAGACAGTGGGCTCTTTAGCCAGCGTCGGGTCGTCCCACAGGGCTTGTTACAGAACCAGCGCTGCCCTCCCTGCTTGCAGGCAGGTCCAGCTGGGGCCGAGAAATGCGTCTCCAGCAAGTGCCCAGAGGGTGCCGGTGTCGGAAGCCCCCGAGCACAGAGCCACTGGATCCTGCCTCCTGGGTCTCCCCGGCTGCCCAGCACCTCGGATCGTCCTGAGTTTCCCACGCTTCTCTGCCTTGGCACCGCTGAGGGATAGAGCTGCACACGCCAACAAAGGAACATCTGAACGTGCACCCGAAGATCAGGAGGGACTCTGCTTGGTGGAAGGAGCTAACGTGAACGGGATGAAGACCGGGGGCCCCTCGGAGCCCCTCTCCCCGCAAGCGCGGTCCAGGTTGCTTATTAAAAGGACTCAAGGCTATACAGAGTTACTTCCCATTTCCACTGATCTGAAAGAGGAACATCATTCTGTCGCTAATTTGGTACCCCTGGCGCTTTCACTGTTCCGTTGAGACCTAAGAGGGAGGATTGGGAAATAGCTCTTTGGCTGTTCCCCCAGCAGACACAGTCAGGGAGGCGGCGGCGCATCACTCAGCCCCCCGGACGTGAACGTGCCGCTCCCGGCCACTGAGCGCCACAGAGCGAGCAGCGGAGATCCTGCAGAAAGACACTTGGAGGGTTTTTTGGTTTTGTTTTTTTGTTTTTTTTTGGCAGAGGGAGGGAGGTTTCGACTTAGGGGATTTGGTTGGAGGGGGAGGCTAAAAATAACCTTTGTTTGTTACCACTCCTTCTAATTGTAAAAGCTTGAGGCAGCTTTCGGAAGATACATGGAGATTTTAGAGTTCATGCAATTGAACAAAAATGACGTAACTGGGATGTTCCAGAACAACCGATTCTAGAGCTAAGCTGCATGACTCAGGTGAACAGCACCAGAGCAGTCCACCCAGCCGCATGCCCGTCCCTGTTCAAACCCACAAGAGGGAGAGCCCCACGGCTGGCGAGTAAATGCACTCGAGGGCGATTCTAATCAAGCCGTGTGAAGCCATAGACACCTTTTGCACTCTTTTTTTTTTTTTTGATATAAAATACTGGTTGAAACAGCCTGTCGGAGCAACGGCTAACTTCTCTGTGCTGATTTTAGGGTGTTTTCGGTAGACGTTACAGTATGTAACAGCTTCCCACGGAGTCCCCGTGAGCCTCTCGGGTCTCTCCACAGGGAAAGGCTTGTTTAAAAGAGCTCATTGTGGATGAATTACACCTTGCAATTCAGCACTGATAGCTGTTTTTGGACAGTTTGTGAGTTCCTTACGGGAACATTTAAAATCTTTTTTGAGATGAGGGATTTTAAGAAGGGGGATGTGTCAAAGTAAACTTAAAACTTCAGAGGACCGTGTCGAAGCCTGGCCACTGCCAGTCCCGGTGGCCTTCCCAAGGTCAGATCTGTTCCCACCTCACCCAGTTTTCTCCATCAGCCCTCGCAGTAGTGGATACTGTCGGTTACCGAGTCCAAGCTCACACCGCTCACCTCACGACAGGCCAATAGATCGAGAGACGAGTTCTTGGGGCAAGGAACAGCAGCTTTATTCGGAAGGCCGGCAGGCCAAGAAGATGGTGGACTGGTGTCCCAAAGAACCGTCTGAGTTACAACTCAGGCTGCTTCTACACTGAAAGAAGAAGGAGGGAAGATGAAACATTTCCTGTTTCCCCGTCAGCCGTAGGAGATGTGCTAATTTCTTCCTTCCTATGGTCCGTCACAGGTGGGCGTGGCCAGGATGTTTCCTGTGAGCTAAACAAAGGTATTTTCGCTGAACCCGCTCGTTACCGAGAGAGGCAGATTTCCCAGAAATGGCCATTATGTATGATTTAAGGCTCTAGGTAACATCTGTTTAATGATTAACATAGTAAAAGCAATAGACCACAAAGGTTAAAGTAAAGGAAGCAGATCCAGGGTGGGGTCAGATTTGTTCTTCCCCATCACATGTGTTTCTCGGGCTGGGTACTTGGTAAGTGCTCAGTAACCAGCTCTTGGAACAAGAGTAATGCTCAGCTGAGGTGGAGGAGGCCCGGACCTAGGCTTCCTGACACTGGCAACGAGACCACGAACTTGACTGTCAGGTGTTCACCCTTAAGACGATAACGCTTTTACAGCCCTGCATTTCGTTTTCAGGTTTATTTCATTCATTTAGTTACTGAATAGCTAATACATTGCTGTAGTGCAGAGTCACAGTGGGAAGTCCCTCTCCCGCCCCCAGCTACCCCTCCTCCAGGTAATGACCACTGGTGGCTTGTGCAGCCTCGGTTTTTAATGCGTATATACGTAAACATACCCGTATGTTCTTATATTTACCCCAGTTTTTGAACAGAAGGAGTAAACTCTACGAATTCTTTTCTGCTTTACTTTGTTCGTATAATCGTGTATCTTGGGGATCTTTGCTTGTCAGTGGATGGGGACTTGTTTGCTGGAGCGCTTCCTAGCGGTGGCCCTGCGACTGAGTGAGGGCAGGAGTTACAAGGGGGCAGATGTCACCACAGTGTCCCCCATGGGACCCTGGAGTGATGTTTGGGAGGAGGGGACAGATGGAGACTGACCGACACGCTTGGCTCAGCTCTTCATGCGTGTCTTTTTTTAAAGACAGAGCAAGTTAAACATTTTTAACTCATTAGTATTGCTTTTATTTCCCCACGAATTTGTCCTGTTTATTCTCTTTCCCAGTCTGACATGCTGAGGTTTTAGTGAAAAGTGTTGCCCAGACACGGAGCCGTAGACTCAAAACCATCCTTTGTGTGTTGAAAGGCCTGGGAGGCACATGCACGCACCCAGGGGAGGGATGGGGGCAAGTGACCATGTCTTTGGAATTGCAGAAGGCAACTGCTACGGCCCCACCCACTGCCCCAGGATGGCGACTTCCACACACACACACCCCTGCCCAGGACAGTAACAGCAGCCGCCTACCCTAGAGCCCAAGGCCACCTGGACCTGCCCGTGAACGTGGGTAGGGAAAGGCACATGTTTATTCACTAACCTCCAACTGAAGTGTAGCATTTCCTCTTATTATAAATGTAGGGAGAACACCCAAAGACATGTTCTGCGCCCTCACGGCTGCTCGCCGGTAAAAATCGATAATTTTCACATCACGTTGCAGCTGTGGCCGATGCCACACATACTGCTCCAAGATGACACCCACCAAAATCTGCAAAATCTCACTGCCGAGTTACTAGAGAAGCACATGCATCACAATTGGGGCGTCTTTTAAAAGATACTTTGATTTAATTGCAATATAGATGTTTTCCTTGTAATTTGAAGGTTTTATTTTCTGTGTTGAAACCCTACATTCCGAGAAGGGACCAGGGAGTCTGTCCATCTGTGGGAAGATGAGTAGCCGTCTTTCTGGCTGCTCTGAGATCACCTACCGTGGGCCCAGTGCCCTGCTCCTCCCAGGAGGCAGTCCTTTTCCTCGTGCGGGGAGGGCGAGGAAGGGATGCTGCCTGCAGACTCGGCCCCAGAGCGGTGCCCCTGGTTGCACTCACTCACCGCCGCCCCCTTTCCCACCCGCATCGCGGCTCCTCTGTCTGCCTTGGTCCAGGTGAGGTGGAGTGGCGGGTGAAGGATGCCGCGGAACCACCTGCCTCCCTATTTTCTTCTGTTTCCAAAGCGCACATCAAGAAGACACGGCCACACAGAGAAGCAGGAGCAATGTCTCCCTAGCCCAGTAGAAGTGCAAACTGAGTCTAGGTTTTTTTTTCCAGAGAAAATATCAATATTGTTGCAATTTCAAGTCTGCAGGTGCTCACAGCCTCCTGCAATATCACTGATGTTGTCTCTGTGCCCCAGTGTCCCTGGAGAGGGCGGAGGGGACTTGGGTTTCTGGGATCTCCATCTGCTTCACCAGGGAGAGCAACACATTTTCCTCTCTTTTTCTTTCAGGTACATATTCTTCAAGTTTTAATTACTATCCAACAAGGGTAAATTTCTAGTTACTTAAAATAGCTTTGTGAGTTCGGATTTCCTTAGCATAAGATAAACGTCACATTTCTTCCTTACAAAATACAGTTTACCACGTTCCATTTAGGACGGACAGTGATCTGGCAAGAGCTGTGTTGATTTTGTAGGTCTTATAAATATGCAGTCATCGCACAGGCTGTGTTCTCTTAATAAATTTTATTAACTTGAT